TACATGAGGTAAAATATAATTGCAATATTGCTAAAATCCCATTATAATCGCATTATGAGGGTGCATGTAAACGTTGTCAATCTTTCACCCTTAGTTACATTGCAGCCATCTCCAAGAGACATTTGTTAATTTTTTTGCTGAAAAGATGTCTTTAGGCCCCGTTTGAAAGACCAAAACATTTTATGTTGTAGTCTTAATTTATGGTATTTTACTTTATCATAGGAGGAACAGGTAGAAGTGGAGGAGCTGCCCCTCACATTGAAACATATGTACCAGGCAGAATACATCGTGAGGAACAGTATTGGGCTTTTCACTGGCCAGGTGCAAGAACCATCATACATGTTGATGGATCATGATGACCAAATGAAAGCGTGGAGGGTGCTGATGGAGTCGAGGAAGTGCTATGCCATGGAGCCTTTCACGTTCATTTTTGAAAACATTCAGGACATGGAAACCTTCATGATTATTTGCAAAGACACCCTCAACCTGAGAGTAAATGCTGGAGTTGGGGTGCACAGTCACCCCTATACATTTTGTTAGTGTGTGTGTGTGTGTGTGTGTGTGTGTGTGTGTGTGTGTGTTACAGCGGAAAGAGTGTTCGTTTAAATGAACAGAGCTGTTACAGCGGAAAGAGTGTTCGTCTGAAGTGGACTGAGAGCTGTTACAGCGGAAAGAGTGTTCGTCTGAAGTGACTGAGCTGTTACAGCGGAAAGAGTGTTCGTCTGTAGTGGACTGAGAGCTGTTACAGCGGAAAGAGTGTTCGTCTGAAGTGGACTGAGAGCTGTTACAGCGGAAAGAGTGTTCGTCTGAAGTGGACTGAGAGCTGTTACAGCGGAAAGAGTGTTCGTCTGAAGTGGACTGAGAGCTGTTACAGCGGAAAGAGTGTTCGTCTGAAGTGGACTGAGAGCTGTTACAGCGGAAAGAGTGTTCGTCTGAAGTGGACTGAGAGCTGTTACAGCGGAAAGAGTGTTCGTCTGAAGTGGACTGAGCTGTTACAGCGGAAAGAGTGTTCGTCTGAAGTGACTGAGCTGTTACAGCGGAAAGAGTGTTCGTCTGAAGTGGACTGAGAGCTGTTACAGCGGAAAGAGTGTTCGTCTGAAGTGGACTGAGAGCTGTTACAGCGGAAAGAGTGTTCGTCTGAAGTGGACTGAGCTGTTACAGCGGAAAGAGTGTTCGTCTGAAGTGGACTGAGCTGTTACAGCGGAAAGAGTGTTCGTCTGTAGTGACTGAGAGCTGTTACAGCGGAAAGAGTGTTCGTCTGAAGTGACTGAGAGCTGTTACAGCGGAAAGAGTGTTCGTCTGAAGTGGACTGAGAGCTGTTACAGCGGAAAGAGTGTTCGTCTGAAGTGGACTGAGCTGTTACAGCGGAAAGAGTGTTCGTCTGAAGTGGACTGAGAGCTGTTACAGCGGAAAGAGTGTTCGTCTGAAGTGGACTGAGAGCTGTTACAGCGGAAAGAGTGTTCGTCTGAAGTGGACTGAGAGCTGTTACAGCGGAAAGAGTGTTCGTCTGAAGTGGACTGAGCTGTTACAGCGGAAAGAGTGTTCGTCTGAAGTGACTGAGCTGTTACAGCGGAAAGAGTGTTCGTCTGAAGTGACTGAGCTGTTACAGCGGAAAGAGTGTTCGTCTGAAGTGGACTGAGAGCTGTTACAGCGGAAAGAGTGTTCGTCTGAAGTGACTGAGCTGTTACAGCGGAAAGAGTGTTCGTCTGAAGTGGACTGAGAGCTGTTAAAGTGTGTGTGTGTGTGTGTGTGTGTGTGTGTGTGTGTGTGTGTGTGTGTGTGTGTGTGTGTGTGTGTGTGTGTGTGTGTGTGTGTGTGTGTGTGTGTGTGTGTGTGTGTGTGTGTGTGTGTGTGTGTGTGTGTGTGTGTGTGTGTGTGTGTGTGTGTGTGTGTGTGTGTGTGTGTTTTTATAAAGATAAATAAAGATACTCAAAAAGTGTACTTTACTACTGTCCACCACTGGTCCCATGTCACTTCTGTGTGTACACATGCTTCTTTCAAGTCATTTCCATTGTCAGTTTGAAATACTCTATAACGTTTCCCCAGACTTGTTTGTAGTTCTTTTTTCACGTAAGTGCAGATAGTCTAGGCAGAAATGCATATTATGTTCCTTTATTGTCTTTGTAAACAACATTAAAGAGATTATTTTCCGCATTTAGATTATATAGATATATATTAGCCTATATAGACCCATACTAATACAAAATTACTCAACTTAAAAGGTAACTAATAGCCGATTATAAATTAATAATTTATTTAATTTAATAATTAAATTTTAATCAAAAAAAATGACACCAAACCATCTGACAATACTGACCTCAGACCAAAACACGGCAAGTTAAGTCAGTTAAGCCTAATACCATACAGCAATGAATCGCAAAGGAGAGTGGGGGAAATTGATCATGTATGTTCATAACTCACAGTCACAACTCCTTTATTATTTTGGATTGGCAACCACGTAAACACATCGTAATGCAGCGTAAGCTACATTTAAAAACATCAAAATAGACCCGCTGTGAAATGTTAAACAAAATACAACTAAAGTTACACAAACATTGAATGTCTATGTTACACAAATACCGGTATGCCGCAAGTTGTGCCGCCTGGCCGTAAAGTGTTTCATCCACGCATGCGTGGTACCGATAGTGTAGGAAAACCGTGACGTCTTCTACTACGTAATTACGCGCATGCGTAGAACGGATCGTGCAGATGGAACGGATCGTGTACCGACAGACGGTTCTCCTGGTTACAGAACCACGTGTTTCAAGCGATGTCCGATTTGAATCATTCTTTAAGAGTCGAATCTTTTCAATGAATCTGTTCACAATGAATCACAAAACAAGTCTGAGCTACTCACTCATTTACGAGTCGGACTGAATGGTTAAAGAAGCGGAATGACTTATAGCGGTTTTCGAGTCATTTTTATGCATATCATATATCATATGCATAATTTTATGGTTGTAAGCGACTCTATGTTTTAATGACTTGAATCTAGCCGGCAACAAACTTAAAATTAAAACATCTTCCTCATTAATACAATGTAATAGAAAAAAAGGTTCTCAAAAGCGAAATGACGCAATTGCGTCAAGACCATAGACTGTAAGCCCAAGACGTAAAAGAATTGTTCGTTCAGATGACCTGTTCGAAAGAACCGATTCGCAACTGTAGTCCTCCTACTTTCAGCTCGACAAAACCCAAGCTGGATGGCTATTGGTCTGTTTACCTGTCAATCACTACGTAAACATGACGTTGCAGGTTTGAGAGGGGCATTTGCGTGAAGGTCATGAAATGTGCGTTGGAGGTCGCTCATGGTCTTTTGACCAGAACTGTGAGCTTTAATTATAAGTAAAACCAAATAGAAACAATGTTTAGTCATTCGATTTGTGTAATGAATCGCCTTTTAGTGTCGAAATGAAATAAATGTTGACAACCCATGACGAGATGAAAGCTAGTCAGTTCAGTTTAACTAAAATACAGTAATATTGCCTATGACTATATATATATATATATATATATATATATATATATATATATATATATATGCATTTGGCATATAATAATAATAATAATGTAGGAATTTGTATTAACAATTTAATAAGATTTATGAACATATTTGACCACCTTAAAAGACCACCATAAACCACCTTAAAAGACATATTTAGATTCACAAAGAGCATTTAAAATATTTTCATTCATTGTTGACAGTTTAATGTTGAGTTTAATAATTTAGGAGGAGTTGCCTCTGCAAAATACAAAAATACATCCCCCGGTAGATACTTAAATCAATATATGGCATATGTAAAGGAATACATGCAGATAATGGCCTAGGTTTTCACATTGAGTAAAAAAAGTAAAAAGCCTGTATGTTATTTCTAATTCAAATGTATTGAATTTTGGGAGAGATTACACATTCATTCTATTCCAAGTCTATACATATAACCAAGCTATTTAAATGAAATAAACAATAAAGACAAAACATAAATCAATCAGACAGTCAGACACACTGTCATGACCATTAAAGCATTCTTGCATTAATCAGACTCACAAACAGGGTATCATGCATGTCTGCATATTTGTTGGATGGGCATACGGCACATACATATGGTACACACACACACACACACACTTTTGGTTTGCTTTAGTTTTTATCCTGAAATCCAATATTAAGTAAACATTTGTCCCCACAAAATCTGCTCCCCCATTTTTTTATATAACATATACATTTTTATTTTCAGAAACACCCTCACCATAAACAACAGCAACAAAGAAAAAAACACAGCTCATCACTGCAGGATGGATAAAGAATTAAAGTTTGTCCATTTTGAAATATGGTAATAATCTCACAAATTTCTTTTTCAACAGCACAGCATCATCAGCAGATATTTATAATCTGGCTCAAGGTTTCCTAATTTAACTCTGCAATAAACATTTGCCTACACTGTGCTGTTTTAATAGTTAAAGAAACATGCAAACTGAGGTTTCTACACTAAAGCTCCACATATCCCTGCATAGCAATAACTATCTTTCCACAATAAAGAACATCTCTTGGGTGAGAAAAAAAAAAAAATCACAGCTGCCTCTCAGAAGATGCTACAATTTTGCAATACAAAAATACTCTGTCTTGATAAAAAAAAAAATTCATAAATGAAACAAGGTTATGAAAAGTTCCTCTTGCAAACATCCAAATAAAAATAAAACAAGTTACCTCTCCTTACTGCCAAATAATGTGTATATTTATGTACTTATGTCTTTTTTTGTATTTGTATCACTAGACAGAATATGAATCAAAGGCAAAATTCAGTAAAAGATAAAAGCAACCATTTTAGCAAAAAAAAAAGATTTTTTTTTATCTGGAAATAGCATAAAGTCCATTCATTAGCCACTTCATACATTCATTAATATCTAAAGAAATGAAAACTAAAATATGTAACGTAGAGGGAACAACAAAATGCTCTACTGATCAACCTTTGAATAAATGAAAATAAAATGAACCAAACAGCCCCTTTTGACAAATATTTGACGTATTGGTGCATTCAAATGTGAGGATTTGATTTTTAACATCATTTGTGGTGACTTAAATCAGCTTTCATGTAGTAGTCTGACATCTTTTACATTATGCCAGTTTTGGCATGCCCATTTAAATTAGGAATAGCTTATGTAGTAGTTTCAAAATCATATAAAAATAATATCAAAAGATACAAAAATTTCCTCAAATTGTCTACCTGTTTAAAAATCATAATTTACCTCCAAGTTTCTTAATGATTTCCAATGTACAATACTGTCAACCATTTGTCAATGACTGCCAATGAAACTTCAAAAAGCACCAATATTAATGCAAAAGATGTTTTTTTTCTCAGGCAGTTTAGTGCAATGTTAGTGTTGACACCTCAATCCTGAGCTCTGCAATATTTTAATGGATGCTGGTTTCTACAGCTGCCTCAGACTGAATATGAAAATAATTTGAAAAGGTTTCTCATGTTAGAAGTAAATCAATACCAATGATTCTTTCACAGAATCAGGTAGCACCGATGTGCTGCAAAACCCTGCGGTTTAGTCTTTGGGAATACTTCAACATAGCAATGACATATATCAGTCTAAGACAGAGACGATATATATTAAGGCACTTGGGTTAAACAAGTTTTGTTGTAGGGTTTGAGTATAAATTCTCAACTAATGATGCAAGCATGCTATGCTCCATTTTCACCAATACAGTTTTCTATCAAACAGGAACGGTTCTCTGAATGCTTTGTTTTTATTATTGCAAGTCTCAAATGGAATGTGTCATTTATAAAGAGGCATAACTCCCCAAAAATGAACAATGAATGCAAACAAAAGAGCAAAACATAAGCAGGGACAAAAAAAAAAAAAAAAAAAAAAATACTGTGGAGGTGGAAAAGATGAGGAAATATATGAGCCGAGTAGTAACTGGTTTGTGCAATAGGAGATGTTTGTGCAAAAGTCAGGTTCAATTTCTCCAACTGTCCTAGAAAGAGCAGATGGTAAAGTCACTCCAATGATCTCTGATTCAGATGGAAATATAACACATTGCAATATTAGATATCAGATCAATGAAGTAACTTTAGACTTTAATGAATTTCCCCATTACATGTGCATAATGTTCTTAACACGCCCACCCAACTGTATGCCTTCACCTGCTCTCTAATGTTGCTCCCTAAAGGGCGTCAGACCCTCTGGCAGGCTTAAACACCTCCGCTTCCGCCTCTGCTTCTGCTTCATCCTCACAGTCAGGGTCCACCGAGTGAAACTCTGCCACATACAGGCTCTTATCGATGCTGCCGGGAATGGGCTTTATGTCCGTCACCAGCTGGTCCTCAATGGTCTTCAGGTTAAAACGATCCTCAGCAGTAATGAGATTGATTGCCAAACCCAGATGTCCATACCTTCCTATAAATTAAACACAGAGACGGTAAATTATATATTATCAAATAAAAGCGGTTGTTATTTGAAGTGCTGCACCCTAATAGACTAGACAATAGATAGTTGACTAGAAGAGGCTAAGTCGACCAAAATTTAGTAGCAGAAAAAAATAAATAAATATTGCTTATCATTTGAAACATGCAAGTAGCAACTTTCAATGGCTGCTTGCTCTAACGTTAACCTAGATAAATGTGCGCTATTATTAGATGCATATCGAAGTGTTTGTGTGGAGTGTGGAAGCTAAAGTATAGCACGCTTCATGACGCTTCATGCATTTTTTCCTGACAACAGCGGAAAAAAATTAAAATACTCTGTCATTTTTGGTACTACATCATTCGAAACTGTAAAGGGTCTACTTTTATTTGTGCAATCCTAACCCAAACAAGAAAACACTGTGCTTTTGTAAAATAAAGATAACAAACAGGATGCGCTTTCTGACATCTCGGTCTCTGTGAACCGGAGCGCGTCAAAAATGAACCAAACTCAGCATATAGGCTACTTGCCTCACAGACATGAGAAATATATCTATAGAAAGCTTGAAATGTCTACTTTTAAACTAACCAATTCAAAACAAATCGAAAACAAATACTCTCTGCTTATGTAATCCGTACGTACCCCACACAGAAAACACCAGTTTATTAATACATAATTAAAATGTCTCTTTGCTATTTTTTCCGTCACATTCACAATCATTACTTTCGCTGGTGCTTTGCGGCAAGTTTCATGTGCGCTTGAGCTTGGAATATGCTATATTACGGCAATATATATATATATATATATATATATATATATATATATATATATATATATATTAAAGGCTCATTGTGGCTTAGTATTCCCCTCAGTATATATTTAAGTAATTAAATGTATATAATCGTGCGATTAGTCGACTAATGGCTTAAATGAATGACTAGAATTTGACTAGAAAAATCTTTAGCCAGGCACAGCCCTAGTAATTTAATTGTAAGAACACATTGAAAACTAAAATTTTATGTTAAAAATATTAAGTGGTATAAAAAAAAAATATATATATATATATATATATATATATATATATATATATATATATATATATATAATTTATAAAGTGTTCAAATTTTAAATATAAAAATGTAAATAATTTAATCCAAAACACTAAGCATTATTTATGCTTGTCAACTTCACCTGAGCGTCCTATGCGGTGCAGATACGTTTCTGCATTCCTGGGGAAGTCAAAGTTGATGACCACATTTACTGCCTGGATGTCAATGCCTCTAGTGAATAAATCTGTTTCAAGAGCACACATTCACTGAATTAGCAATAACAAAAATATAATATTATTAGGAAAAGAAAATTTTCTTTTTATGGTTGGGGTTATGCAAAAGAAAAGAGATAAACTCACCTGTGCAAACAAGGTTCCTGCAGAGTCCATTTCTGAAGTCGTGGAAAACACGGTTTCTGTATTCCTGCCATGTGAATGAAAGGAAGCACAATATGTTTGCAGCCACAAATAACTGCACAAATAAAGTTTCAAGCATTTGACTGAACAGATTTGAATTAAACTGGAACTAACAACAACAAAAGACGTACCTGCATCATCTTTGCATGAATGTAGAAGCAGGAGTAGCCCAGCTGCGTGATCTTCTTGGCCAAAAGCTCCACTCGCTGAGTAGAGTTACAGAAGATGATGGACTGATTGATTTGCAACTGTGGAGAGAACAAGAGCGTGGGGTCATGTCAGCTGTAGAAACAATGCATTCGGTTGTAATTCACTAAATCACAATACCACAACTGACAAACTTAGTCAGGGTCACACAATATTCAGCAATATTACTGATTATCAGATGAGAACTGAACAGAGCTGGACGATGACATCACTGTTTTGACATCTACAGAGCTACTTTATAGATGAATTGCACTCATTTCATATTTGATGATCTTTACTGTTCAGTGAATGACCTTAGCTGAACCGAGCTACATATTAAGAATATAGCCTTTGATATTAATAGAAACCATCCATATTATGATAGTTATATTATGTTAAGACAGTAGATTAACTATGCACTTTATTGTTGTTATTGATGCACATGCATTATCTGTATATTATTTTTACAGTAATATACAGTAGCGAGCGATGCTTCAAACACTACGATATGCAGTCTAAAATCGACTCAAAATATCAAACATGTTTTGTGCCCATTATACACTACTCGATTTTCTGTGAAATCTGTCAACTCCAAAATCTATTTTGTCTTGTAATTCTGAGAATTAGGGAAAAATCTAGGGCTGTAGTCAACCAAAGAAATCCTTAGTCGACCAAAGTCCTGTCCTGCGCAACGATTAGTCAACTAAAAAAAAAAAAAAAAAAAAAAAAAAAAACACGATGTTTTGATTGAACATTTTTTAACAATTGTCATAGCATTTATAAAACAACAACGAAAAAACATCAAAAATACATAAAACTATAATAATAATACAATTCTTTTAAAATTAAGTGATTTTTTTTTAACTGCAAAGTTAGGAGCTCTGTCCTAGGTCTATAGTAGGCTAACAGTCACAATCGCGCACCTGACCACACCACACGCTACACAAAATATAACTACTATCTGCCACAATGAAAAATCCTAACAAAAGCTCTCGTTTACAGGCTGTAGCCTATATTCTTCTTTACTTGTCTTTCAAAGCTATGGGTTAACTTTTGTCCAGCCGATCTAGGAGTTTTAAAACAAACAGACAAAAAAACCCAAAGAGCCTTAAAAACAATCCTAATAATAATAGGCTGTATTGTAGGACCGCATATAGGTTTATTTTCGTTTTGTTACATTATTTAGGCTATTTTCAAATGCATCAAGTGTACAAATAAAAACAAAAACATATCAAGAAAACACAATCTATTGAGTCAGCATGATAAAGCCGTTAAAGGGACTGCTCACGTCTTTTGCGCGCTCAAGTTCGATTTCAAATGTAGGCGCGCGGTGTGCGCGCTCATGATGGAAGCAACGCGCTCTTTTTTTTTCCAAGTGCGTCCACGCCGCATCGAGATAAAAACATATAGTGTATAAAAACATAAAAACCGAAACAAGTAGCATTCTAACTGAATGAATACAGCTAAACTACCTATATTCCTTACTGAGCACGAAGCAGCAGCGCAGCCAGCCACAGGGGGGAACCGAGTGTTCTATGTGTGTGCGCTAAACTGTGGCGCTGTTACAAAATAGCCTAAATTAAAGCATTTAAAGTTGGGGATAAACCATAGGCTAATTATTTTAGAATACAGTAATATATAACTGCTTATAAAGGAATAAATATCAAGGAGTAAATCATTGAAAATTTCTTTCTATTGGTAAAAAAAAAAAAAAAAAAAAAATACAACTGGTCGACCAATAAGAATGTCAGTCGACCAAGATGGCATCGACCGATTAGTCGACTAAACGACTAAAGTTGACAGCCCTAGAAAAATCTTTGCAAAAGTTTGGTTTGGTTCAATTTAAATGATTGATGTTAGTCCGGTTCATTTGAATAAGTGTAAACACTGTCATCCAATCCTTGGTGCGCACCAATACAGACTTCTGAAAATGTGGGTCTCGATCCGCTTCCAAACTAACTTTGGTGTGTTTTGACTGAAATATGAACGCAACATACATGGACCAAAGAAGGCTAAACGAACAAGAAACAGGACGTAATGTCACAAGATGCGACCCTAAAAAGGACAGAATGCTCAAGCATACTTGGTTTTTCTCGTCGTATTTGCAATATTGCCCACTACAGTTCAGTACTGTTGTCAGAACTGCGTCTTTCTTCTTGCAGCAGAACTTTGTTTGTGTGTGTAACGGAGGAATTTCTGGTGCTGTTTTGACTCCTTTACACATTTTATACACCCTGCACGAGTAAAAACTCCTTATATGTATGCGCATACTAATCCAGCACACAGCAATGGTTTGGAAGTTCGGCCCAGTGCTGTTTTTTTGTATCTATAGGTTCGGTGTTAAAAATGACAGTGTGAACGCTAAGCGAACCAGGACTAAAATGTATAATTCTATTTTTTGTTCCGGACCAAACGAACAGACCTACAAGTGTAAACAGACCCTAAATATATTTAAAGGAAAAAAAATCAAAAATCAAAACCAAGCTACAAAAATGACTCATCAAGGTTGTGACATGACATTTTACCCAGCCTAAATATAACTTGTTCTATTACCTAATTATTAAATGTTCTAAAGTGAAATTCACTATTTACCCTGGAGAACAGTGTGTTGAGGCAGTGGACTTTCTGTCTTTCTGTGACGTAAGCATAGTACTGGGTAATGCCCTTTAGGGTCAGTTCCTCCATCAGATTAATCTCATAGGGCTTCTGCAGGTGCTTTGCCTACAGACACACAAAAGCGAATAAATAGAAAACCTTCAGATGTAAAAAGAGAGAAGCAGAATGTAAGCATAAATGTGTTTAAAAGATTTCTCTGACCATGAATGTCTGTACGCTGATGGGGAACGTGGCCGAATAGAGCAGTATCTGTCTGTTCTTCGCAAGGAAACCAATGATGTCCTCAATGAGAACCACAAAGTCCCGAGAGAGCAGCTTATCAGCCTATAATAAAACAGGCAATGAACAGCTTGAACTTTTATATTGGTGGTATTAACATCTAAACACCTAAATAACTATTGTAAGACGTGCAATTATGATAGTGTGCAACAGGGAATAACATTTTATAAATATTCTGATGGCCATGTAAGCTTGTGCGATGCTCACCTCATCCATAACCATCATCTGAACTTTATCCACTTTGGCTATGCCCTTTTTTATCAAGTCCAAAATTCTGCCAGGTGTTGCTATAACAACATGAACTGCAGAAGAGAGTTTTAAACAACATGTTTTTATTGCAGAAGATGATCACACTGTAATCTCTTTATGATTAGGTATATTTTATGTGATTACTGAGCATTACCTGTCTCATCCAGGCGCATAATATCATCTCGAAGGTTTGTACCACCTGTGGTTGCCATGACTTTGACACCGCCCAGGTGTTTGCTGATCTGAATACTGATCTGACTGACCTGCAGAGCTAGTTCACGAGTGGGAACCATCACGATGGCTGCAGGCAAAGAGAAATATAGCACAGTAAAAAAAAGGGGGATAAAAAATGTACATCTTGGTAAAAAGTTTTGGGAGAGAGCGATACCCTGAATATGATCCTTTTTCATGTCAATTCTCTCCAGTAGGGGGATCAGGTATGCACCACTCTTTCCTGTCCCGTTTTTGGCACGAGCCAGTATATCACGTCCAGAGAGGGCAATAGGAATACTCTCCTCCTAAAATAAAAAATAAAATAAAAAATTAATTAAGCATAAACACTGAAGATACCAATATTTTTCAGAAAGATTGGTAGGTTGATTAAAAGATTAAAAATGATCATTTGTAATAATACAAATAATAAGTTTAAATTTTATGTATAGGGCTGTCAAGTGAATCAAATTTTTTATCTAATGATATGATGTGTCATAGTCTGTATTGAGATGAGAAAAGCATCAAATAGACATTACAAAAAGTAGCTTTAAAAAGACAAGTTGTATTTGATTCGACATAGAATTTATTACACATAAACTTTTAGGCTACAACTGCCATGATTTTTTTTTTTTTTAGAAGCTGCATCTGAATTAGTATTTAGATACATTTACAGACCGTTTATTGCAGCTCAGAGGTGGCATGGATGCATTTACACTGCAATTACAATTAAATAATGCCAATATATTAATGGGTTTCAAATGGATATTTAGGGATAGTTCACTCAAAAATGAAAATCATTTAGAATTTTATTTAAAAAATATGTCTAAGTATTGTTGTTGTTCATACAATAAGTCAATGGTAACCAAAACAGTTTGGTTTCCAACATTCTTCAAAATATATTCTTTTAAAATCCGCATAAGAAAGTCATACAGATTTGAAATGACATGAGGATGAGTAACTGATCTTTTTTTTTTTCAATTAAATTATACCTTAAATAAGAAACTGAAATTGCCAGTAGGTGGTGGTTAATGTCTTAATGAGTGAGTTATAAAGTTATTCATTCATTCGATAGTTCAAAAGGCTGATTCATTCAGGAATTAAGTAAACGGCTCTCTCGTTCAGAACGCGCTTGCTTGGCGACGCACAACAGTTTTGCTCTGGCTTTATAGGTAATATTTCCATTGGCAAAATGGAGCAAAAACAGACAATATTGTGTGTACAAAACACAATATTAACTATTTTATTGAACTGTTGTATAAAATTTATATACAATTTGCACTCGTGCTATTCAGGACAAATATCATACGATATAAATATGAGACAAAAACTCGTACAGGGGAATCTTTTCCCCAATATCTTGAATTTTAGGGGCATTCTATACTCTATAGCAGCCTTTCTCAAAGTGGGTGCCGCGGCACACTGGGGTGCCCCCTGACTTTGTCAGGGGTGCCGCCAAAAAATTACGTAGGCTAAAAATATATATATATATTTGAATTTACATAAATACATTCTTCTTCTTTTTAAACATATGAACGTATTAATAAAATTGTACATATATTTTAGATAAATATATATATATAAAATTAACCATAAAAATCCGTCTCACAAGACCGAAGCAAGACACACACACAACTTGACGCAAGTGACGCAACCCATAGCACCGCGTTATAGCAACAACACTGACCGCGCGAACACGCGTCACACAGCAACTGCAGGCTCTGACAAACACACATACAAACTATACTATACTTCTGCATAACGTGTCTCTTTTTACAACAAAAATGTGAATTCTGCCGGTATTCAGACAGTCCCATGCATACAGATACAGATCCGGCCTACAATCGCCTACGTAGGTGAAATTTGTTTGACATTTCGTCCCCTTGGAATTATAAGGTTCTATCTGACATTTTTGTCAAAATTGAGTTATTCACATATTCTTATTCTGTGACAACTTATTTACATTATGTGATGTGTTTTTTTTTTATTGTGTCCATTGTGGGACTTTTTATTGAAAAAACTAAAAGGTTCTATCTACAAAATCGAACTCTAACTTGGCTCTATAAGGTTCTATCTGCGTGAGCCAATCAGCACTTCGAATGCACAGAAGAGGACCAATCAGAATCAACTTTATATGTCATGTCGCAGGCTTTTTCCTTGAAGACAAAAAGAAACCCCATAAAGGCATAATGCTATACATTTACAGTAAATTAAATATTCACTAAATTGTGTAGTGTTATGAAGTGGCTTCAATTTGACCATTTTCTTTATAGTGTATTGGTTATTATTATTAATTATCAATGAGGTTATTATTAATAACTATTATTATTATAGTTCTTATTATCTGAATTATACAAATATGCAGTGGGTAAATTGAATATAAAAAAAAAAAACATTTAACATGCAAGTGTGTGTGTGTGTGCGCGAGTGTGTGAAAATGTGTGTGTGTGCGAAAGTGTGTGTGTGACTGTGTGTGCGAGTGTGTGAAAGTATGTGTGTGTGTGTGTGTGTGCGCGCGCGTGTGTGTGTGTGTGTGTGTGTGTGTGTGTGAAAGTGTGTGTGTGTGTGTGTGTGTGTGTGTGTGTGTGTGTGTGTGTGTGTGTGTGTGTGTGAAAGTGTGTGACTGTGTGTGTGTGAGTGAGAGAGAGTGTGTGTGTGTGTGTGATTAAAAAATTAGTCTGACATTTTTTGAGATCATAATAGTCAGTGAATAATTTTTCAATGATTATTAAACTTTATGAATTAATTTGCTGAAGCATGTCGATTTTCTTGTAGTTTTTAAAGTCTTGAAATGTCTTAATTTTTACAATTTTAAGCCTTAAAGGTCAAATAGTTAACAATTTCATTGATGGGGTCTTAATTACAACAATAAACGTTAGCATGTTATTTCAGCCATACTGATGTCTAGAGAGAAAGCCATTTCATCTGGCCCACTTTAGCTGGAATAAAGTCCTGCTCAGATGTATTACAGTAGCTGCTTTCTGTCTAAACAAAAGAAAGATTAAAGTAACAATTTCTGCAATAATGTGTTTAATTACCCACCAAATTGGTAACGAAAATTAAGATTCTGCACTGGACAAAATATTTAGACCTACCTTGCTTAATTTGAAATGTCCTAAATACATGGAAGTGCTAAAAAATATGAAATAAATGTCATAGAAAGGATAAAATTTTACTTTCGAACACATGTTGAGACATTGTTACAACATTCATTTTATATTTAATGTTCAAATAATGTTTTGGCAGATAGAACCTTATAATTCTAAGCGAAAAGTGTTTTTTTAGAATTAGAAGGTTCTATCTGCGTTTGACCCATTCCAAAAAAACCCATTTACAAATTTGAGAGGATTTTGATATTGTATATTTAGAATACATTTAGGGTCCCTGTTATTTTCATGTTTGAAAGAAACTTGTTCCCCATATAAATTTTCCTATATGTAATGCAAAAACTTTGAAGCTCAATATCTCAAAACTGCTCAGAACGCAGATAGAACCTTATAATTCCAAGGGGACGATTTCTAATCGTAAACACAGCCATGTTGAAGCCTGCAGTAATGTTTTTCATTGATGTTATGGCAGTCCACTCTGCTTATTGTTTTTCGAGAATCTTGCACTCCTGTTTGTCATTGTGCACGAAACTTCATGCCAATAAATCATCAGAAATATTGCTGACTTGTGCGCGTCTCAAGCGCACTCTTTACGCTCGTGCTAATGCCTGTTAGTTGTCCGTGGATTTGCCTATATTTGGCGCTGAAAATGGAAACGTCTTTAGACATGGAAAATCGATTTTACAATCGATTCAATGAACGTTTATGTCTCAAAAATCGATCAGGATTTTTTCACAAAAGTGATAGCCCTGTAAAGTTGTTATTATTATTGTTATTGTTATTGTTATTTACAGTTCGTATTATGCTCTGTTCATTACTGTTCTGTCTAAATAAACAGGACATTTGCATTTACATTTGGGTTATGCAGTGTTTTTAATTTATATTTTACACTGGGGTGCCTTGAGATTTTATGCACTTTTGAAAGGTGCCCGACTGAAAAAAGTTTGAGAAAGGCTGCTCTATAGGCTCCATCACGCAGTGAGTTGTTGCCCTGCATCATGTTTGTCACCAATCAGGTCTGGGGTGGGGCAGGCATTCTTTTTCCATAACTAATTAAAGCAACACCATGTGATTTTTCCTCAGCGGTCGCCCTACAGGTTGGAAGCAGAATTGTCCATTACTGCTGTCGTAAATAATTTAGCCTTCCGCAGCCGACTGTCGCACGCGCACGCTCGCTGTTTATCCAGCACTGGCTTTGGAATCAACAATGGCAGACATCCCAACCTGCAAGAAGTCATTTCAGGGAGGTATCTTGGTGACTGGATTGTTGACGGGGGGACGGGGGGTGGGGCTGGTGGCGGGTTGACTAGCTTTCGTGAGGCACACTCGCAAGGTCTCTCGCTCTCTCTCTCTCTGCCGTGCTCGCGCTATGTATGTTATGCGCGCAGTATGTTCTGTCTCGCATGCGCGCTCTAGATTCCGGCAGATCTGAACTAATTTGCGGGCATCAGGGAGACGCAGGAGACTCCCGGGAGACTTGGGATGTCTGCAATGGCCACAGACAATTTGAGGAAGTGGTGGGGGAAGTGACGTATGCCGTAAAGCAGTCGAATTTTGTAGTTCTTTTTGTGCACGGGTTCCTACCCGAAACCCGAAGTTACATAGTGCCAGTAAAAGCGATACAGACCACGTCAGGCTATGGCAGACGTGTCATTTAACTTATTTTAAGTCGATGTACCATCACAAGGGTCTTGGAAATATATTATGAAGGTTGAAAAACTACATAGTGTTACTTTAATTCAATTAAGAGCCCTAATAAAAGAGCCCTAAAAAACATGGCACTATTGAATACTTGATTCTGTTTGGATGACAGATGTTCTACAGTGCTTAATAATATTCTAGATAAAGAATTTAAAAAGGGAGGGCACTGGTTTTTATCTAGCATATTCTTATGCAAAAATTGTCTACTAGTCTAGGTTTTGCATTTGCCGCATCTATTACCTGAATGGGGGAGGGCTTTTCCCAACCCATCTCAAAAATGCCCATCAGCAGCTCTCTCTTCAAGCAGTAGTCCTCAAACTCATTTCCTTTGGTTGCAGTCACATCCTTGAGAAAAAGAAAGAGCATGAAATAGTTGGATCAGAAGGAGATTGTATCAGCATTACACTATTTGGGGACTCTGAGTACACTGTTATTTTATTTTATTTTAAATTTCACTAAAAGACTTACGGAAGTTTTGACTCTATTGTCCTTAGAGGGAAGCTGTAGGCTTCTTTTCCAGTCGTCACCAAACCTGTGTGTAAGTAGTGTAAGTGAAGAATTATGAATATATACAGTATACATAAACAGATTGCACACCACCATTTAAAAGTTTATTTCTAAAGAAATTACTACTTTTATTCAGCAAGGACACATTAAATAGGTAAAATTTGACAGTAAAGACATTTATAATGTTACGAAAGATTTCTATTTCGAATAAATGCTGTTTCTTTTAACTTTCTAAAAACAATCCCATCAAAGAATCCTAAAAAAATTGTAGCATAGTTTACTTTCCATGAAACTGCTTTTAACACGGATTAAAAAGAAAGAAAGAAATGTTTCTTGAGCAGCAAATCAGCATATTACAAAGATTTCCGAGAGATCATGTGACACTGAAGAAAATTCCATCACAGAAATAAATTTGATTTTTAAATATATTAAAATAGAAAACAGTTATTTGAAATTGTCTTTACTGTCATTTATCAAATAAATGCAGCCTTAAGAGAGCATAAGAGACTTCTTTTAAAAACATTAAAAAGTAAAAAACTTCAGAAAGGTAGTGTACACAGACATGTTATATATAATGGACACATTCTAGCTAAGCAATCAAGTTTGTTAATGTGACAATGATAAGCTTACCTGATGCCAGGTCCTTCCTGAAATGCATTGGTTTCAGGTTTCTGGGTCCCCATGGGCTGAGGACTTGCAGTTTGGGGTCCTAATTGAGAAGGGGCTTTAGGCTGTCCTACAAACTGCCTGTTGTGTGTGTTCAACCCCATGACAGCTGGGCCAGCATTCTCCATCCTTGTTGCCATTTTATCACTGCTTTGTGGGTATTTTCAGTTTATATTATTTTTCCCACGTCTTTTTCACTTTCGAATGCCTTACCAAGGTCTAATAAGATCTAATGAACCTTCACAGTGTCCACAAGGTCTCAGTAAAACGGTTTCACTAAAGAATCTTTTTTTTTTTTAGATATTTACAAATTCAACATATAGCTTAGGCTCTATTAATAAGAGCAATGCTGCCACCCAAGGTGTTTTACAAGACCTCTTCTAAAAGAAGAGAAATAAATATTTATTTGCATAAATATTGCACACCTGCACGCAGTATAGAAAATTATACCTGGACAGGTGTGATAAATAACTAGTCTGCTAAGGCAATGGGAAGTACAGAAAGACCTAATGCTCCGAAGCCCAGAACTTTCTTTTTGTGTCTACACAATATTTACACTGTGCAAATACAGTGCTTTGTGGTCTTTTGGCTGCCGGTTTTCACTCTTTCTTGTTCAGATGCAGTAAAACTCTCAAATGTCCTGATCAGGGAGACCAGTCTTGGTTCATTTATACATTTGCCTGGCAGGTAGAATTAATTCCAGCACATCTGAGAGTAGAATCACACATTCAAAAAATGAATAGTCAAAGTAACACTTCAGGGTGACGCAGTTCAAAAGTCAAACAGCGCTGAAAACAAGCCAGTTCTATGAATAGCCAGTTGAAAGTCTTGTGTATGTCCTTTCCTCTGTGTTGCCCTCCAGTTGTGTCCACGCCTGTTCCAACTGCAGAAAAACAATATGGAAATCAAAGACATTTCACTCTGCAAATTACAAATTACCTGGAAAATTTCTGGAAGCTTTGAGGGATTCCAAATATATATTTTTTATGCTTTTACAGAAATGAATATATTAACTGTTATTTTTTTTGTGGAACCAATAGTTATTATTGTAACGTTAATTTATTGTAAATGGATTTTTTTTTTAATAAATCTGCGAATGTGATAAAAATGCTAAATGCTTCCCTGACAAAATGCTTCCCTGTTACTGTGGTGGTAACTTACCGTGGTACAGTGATGGTAAATATAAATGGAGATACAATAGTATCTTGATTTGCACCATAATGATGATTCCCATATTAAAAAAAAAACATACGTATTTATGTGATAATTAAAGGAACTACATTGAATTAACACGGTAAAAATAAATAAAAACATTGTAACATTATTGTACTTTTTTTGTCAGCGTCATTAACAGTGCAACTTTCTCCCAGTTAAAATGTCTTACTTTCAAACGGTTGGTAAATCAATGTCACTGGCTTAGAATCATATTTACTTTCCCTTGTTTACAAATAATTACTTTTTAGCACATTCAAATCAAAACTTTTACATTACCACCTTTAAACGGAAAAATACATTAACGGGCAGCGTGTCTCTTCAATAGTTTTCACAACCATCGAATATGAAATAAAAGTCTGGTTTTAACTTTTTAAACACGAGCATCTCAGACGAACAATGAGACAGATTATTGTTTCCAGGACACAAATAATATAAACATCGCTTTACATATTAGTTACTTTAAGGCAAATCATAAAAAATGCCGAACAGACTGACATCAAATTGTTTAGTTAGCAGATGATTTGTGCTAAGCTAGGTGGTTACTGGTTAACCTTACAATATTACTTCATAATACACGACAGTAAAAACCAAACATTTACCTTTATTCGTATCAATATCCTATGCTGCCTTACATATTAGGTAAATTACTTGGTTATCAATGTGGTATTTATTTCTCACGTCGCTACAAGCAGCTCGTCTCTTTGTTGTATTTCTGTCAACACGGTCGACATGTATTGAACGTCATTGGGGTTCATATGAGCACTGCACATGTGAAATGCTGCCATCAACGGTACGGAGGCTCTTATGACCCTAACTATCAACTATTGATTTGTTTACTGCGTTTCTTTCTTTTTCTAATTAAAAAACGACTATGGTAACCATAGAGTATTTTAGGCATTCTTTGTCATAATAAATAATGCAAAATAACAATAAACAAATATAAATATAATATTTATTATATTGAAATACAAAAAATAATATTAATTAATAATGAATGATTTCAGAATCCTACTGTTACTCAAATTTATGGTGACTAATACTTATCAAGTTACCACAGTTTTATTGTAGTAACAATTGCTACATTTGGCCAAATACAGATGCAAAACAGCTCTGGAAACAACAATGCATTAATGAAAATAGTGGATTATTTATTACTGCATTTGACATTCAATTTATAAAAAAAAACAGAACAAACATCTAGTTAGGGGGAAAAAGCATTGAATCTAATTTGGTTATGTTATGAACACCTTTCAGTTGTTTAGTTTACTGCAACAGGAACTGGTAACTAGTCACAGCAAAAGTTTCATGTGCATCTGGCCAGTTCCTTTTGAGGAAATGATGAGGTAACATGGTAATATACAGGTTCAACAGTATGAAAGTCTGGCACATAGAGCACATAACCACATCCTTAAAGGATAGTTCACCCAAAAATGAAAATTTTGTCATCATTTACTTACCCTCAAGTTGTTCCAAACCTGCATGAATTTCTTTCTTCTGCTGAACACAAGCATACATAACTGTAATTCATTATAATTTCATTTTAGAGTAGGGGTGTCAAAGAAATTAGGTCATGAGCCGCATTGGACTAAATGGCACCATTATGTGGGCCAATACATTTTTTTTTTAATTATGTGTAAAACCATGGAGAGTGTATGCGCAATACATGCTCACTAGTAAAGCAACTTTACGCTGCATTAATAAGCAATTTTGAGGAACAAAGCACAATTCAGAATTGACTCATTTAATCAAAAAAAGGTTACGTTCTGGGTGTGTTTGGGTCATTTTGACCCGGAGAGGATTTTCCCCCCAGAAAAATGCTAGTTCTACTACTTCCCCAAACATTTTTGAGAATTTTTGTAATTTTATTTAATAATAAAAAAAACTCGTCCCTGTTGTGTCCTGTGCGCACCTGGACCGAGCACAGGTTTTCAGACAATCTGAACAGCTCTTTGTCTGCTTAGGAGGTCAGCAGAAGGGGAAGGCTATCTCCAAACAGAGAATGGCCCACTGGATTGTGGACGCCATTCTCCGGGCTTATTAAGTCCAAAATCTACTGTGCCCATTAGGAGGGAGAGCTCACTCCATTTAAGGCATTGCTGCCACTTAGGATTTGGCAAACGGTGCTTCACTAGCAGACATATGTAGAGCTGTGGGCTGGGCTATACCCAACATTAATCTCAGAATGGAACCAGTTTCATCTTGAGTTTTTGGTGACATCAGGGAAGTCTTGGACAAACTGTCTGGGTGTAGTGCTTACACTAAAACGTGCGCTCTATCGGTCTAGTTGAGTTCCCCTTGAATGGTGAAACCTTCTCCATCATTTCACACTCTCTAGTCGAGTTTTGTGGAGGAAACCTTAACAACCAGGTGTACGCAGCTTTTTTCCTAAAATTACTTCCAAAATCAGAAACAGGCCCTACAGCTACAGTGACCTCTTTGAGGTGAGTAGGTCCTTGGAAGGGAGACCTGAGGTAATTTACCCTGGGTGTTAGAAGGTTACAAGTGAGCGTTGTTGCACTTGTCATTTGCACGCAGAGGCTTGCTCACATTTGCACCACCTTTTCTCGTGACACAGTACAGCAGTTGTCGTGGCGTTTAGTAGAGGGGCCCCTTAGTGTTGGTTCGACACCACGTTGAACGTGACCATGAGAAAGGTAACGTTTTGGTTATCCTCGTTCTCTGAAGGAGGGATCTCTCCTGACACAACTGATGACTGCTGAATGGCCGAGATGCTACCTCGGCTCCTCAGCACAAATCTGAAAGGTGTATTGCATTCCAGCGGCTTTCTATATGTCAGTTGGCATGGCTTGGCATGCAAATTCCACATGCCAATTCCATTGTCCTGATACTCTCAGTGGTGATTGGGGCTCCCAAGGACGACCCCCTTAGTGTCACTTTGACACATCTCCATTGCCTCCATTAGGGACGAGGGTTACCATTGAACTGAGATGTTCTTATAGACAAACTATTTTGAGTATTACACACTTTTCATAGAGATTAACTTTGTCCTATTCTGAACTGCATCCAATATCCATTCATTATCCAACATTGCCATACACGTGCACACACACACACACACACACACACACACACACACACACACACACACACACACACACACACACACACACACACACACACACACACACACACACACACACACACACACACACACACACACACACACACACACACACACACACACACACACACACACACACACAAACTCTGTTTGCTCCACAATGACCCCACCAAGTCTTTCTTTCTTGTTCTTCATTTCATCACATCTTCCAGACAAAATATTATAACAATGTGTTTTGGGATTTTCATGTTTCACAATAAAGCTGACAAAAGTAATAGCACAGAGAAGATAAATGTCACATAGCACCCTGCTTATTCATTTAGTGTCAGCACAATGGTCAAGAAGCTGTCTGTGTGTGAGCTTCTTGATCAAAGACATTGCAACAAATGATAAGGAACAATCTTCTGATGTTGACATTGAAAGAAGGACTTTTTTGTAGCAGGGTCACTGCAGGGCAAAGACAGTTCAAAAGTGTGTGTGTCCCGACGTTATGGAAAAAAAGTCCCCACATGGATAGAAATGCCAGAAATGTTTGATCTTGTAGGGAAATTTTTTGGTACCCATGAAGAAAACGGCTTATAAATCATACTACCGGTAAATTATGTTTTTTTTAATAACAGAATGTAGAAAGTGAGGGTTGTTTAGGGGTAGGGTTAGGGGATAGAATATATTTTTTATAGAATAAAAATCATAAAGTCCCCATGAAATATGGAAACCCAACAAGTGTGTGTTTGTGCACATGTGTGGTAATGTTGAAAGCATGAATGGATATTGGATGCATTTCAGAATAGGATAAAGTTCATCTCTGTGAAAAGGAAAGAATGTAATACTCAAAATAGTTTGTGTACATGAACATGCGTTTTGTGTGCGCACACGTGCTTGCACTTGTGTGTGCCTACAGGTTTGGTAATGTTGGATGGATGAATGGATATTGGATGCAGCTCAGAATAGGATAAAGTTCATCTCTGTGAAAAGGAATGTGTAATACTCAAAACAGTTTGTGCACAAGAACACGTGTGTGTATGTGCATGTGCGTGGGTGGCAGCTGGTGTGTGTATGTATCCAGGCCTTTATGTTTGCAAGCACACATGTACATATTTGAACATGATTAACATGCTCCTAAATTTTTTTCTTTTAATGGCTGGTCATTTCTGACCGGGAACATAGTGTGACTGTACCATTTTCTACACAATAAAATAATTTCAAAACAAACTTCCTAGTTAAACATTAAAGCACACTAGTGTGATACATTTTTTTCAAATTTTATTCAATATTGCCAAAAATTATCCACAAATAATGCTTTTTTTTCGGTCAAAAATTGAGGTACATAATCTCAGATAAACGAGGCCTACGATCCATCAGATCCAAAAAGAAATGCAAAACCTGTGCCAATTGAAAGAAAACAAGTAGACAAAAGACTGAATCCAATATTTTGTGATAATATAGAGTAATGAGACACTTAGAAGCAGTTTTAAAAGGCTGGTCATATTTGAACAGGGTTTTAAACAGAACAAGGGTTAAATTAAATGAAAGAAAGTAAGGCTGTGTGTTTGACACCCCTACGTTTAAACATTCAAACCACTGGATTTTAGCTAAAAACAAGAAAAACAAGCCACAGTGCAGTTGCTTAAAAAAAAGTGTTGGTTTGCAGTGCAAAAGCAACTTAGATCTTATTGCATCACTACAGGCACAATGGTGAAATTTTGGTGGATGCTTAGACATTCTGTTAGGGCAGAACAGAACAGTGAATGGTCATTGCGAACATCTAAAAATGAATCACTCTGATGCAAGACTGCATATTAAGCCTTAGCAGATATGATGATGATGTTGTTGGTACTGCAAGCTGGATCTACAGTTGTTTCCAGGAGTTGAGCTGGTGGATGGACTCCCCTAATTTAGGGTTTCGAACCTTTCACTTTATTTATTATTTAGATGTATTCACTGTAATTTCTTAGACCTTTGTGGTCTAATTAAGCCCTGGCTGCCTCTTATCAGCAGGTAGTTCCTCTTGCTGGAAGACTTCTCTGATTCGTTTCACACATAGATCTGCTGCTTCCTGGGTTTCTTTGGAGAACTGAAATAGGCTCAGGAAGCCATGAGGGAGATCTTCAACCACAGTGAGCGTCACTGGCTGGTTCATATTCCTCAGCTTTTTGGCAAACATCACTGAATCATCTAACAGGGCATCCAAAGCAGAGGCCTGAGGAAAACAATCAAGGCATTAAAATAAGAGTTACAGCACTATCTCGGGAAATGCAGATTCATCATGTCTTACCACTATATGCACTGGCGGAAGGCCCTTGAGAAGATTGTCAGGAGCAAGTAATGGAGAAACAAATGGGTTCTTCATTATTGGTGTGCGAGGTGTCTGTATATCCGCCAGACATCTAGACCGTAGAGGCTCAAAATTTTCTGGGTAATCTTGGACCTCCTGTGGTCTCTTAACAGGATGTGACTTGGAAGGTGAAGGACCATTTGATGATGTAGTCGCACCATTTGATGATGGTGGTGCCTTTGGATCTATGAAAGTCTGAATCCAATTTGACGCTCCTTGGGCGAAGTTACTCAACATCTTTACAGTGTCCTGTCCCAAAGCAGTCAGGGTGTCTAAATGCTGAGCCGGCTGTACTGACTGACAATTCGCACCTGAATAAGAGAGTGACAGAGACCGAAAAGACGGTGTTATCATGAAGGTGCTGTAAATAAGACAGAAGGTTTAATATTACTTTACATTCTGTATATATAGAGCATTCTAGAATTGTCACGACTAGGTGAAACAGTGGGGTCCAAAAGTCTGAGATGGAAAAAGCCAGTAAATAACCTGTTATAATGAATTAAAAGCTTTAACACTATTTGTCAGTAAGCATGTGAACATGACAACATTGGACCCCATTGACTGCAGAAGAAATAAAAGAAATAAAAGTCGTACAGGTTTGAAACAATATGAGGGTGAGTAAATGATGACAGGGTCAATTGTTCCTTTAAAAAATTGACAACCCAAATACTAAGACATTCTAAAATTCATGTTAATTTTTCAATTCAAACTTTCATTCAACTCCTCAAATTGTACCACTAATAACATAAATTTGAATGAAAATACTTTAGAAAAATATTAAATATTTTGGTAACACTTTACAACAAGGTTTAATTTGTTAACATTGGATAACTACATGAGTAAACGTGAACTAAAAATACTTCTAAAGCATTTATTAATCTTAGTTAATGTTAATCTCAACATTTACCAACACATTACTATTATCAAAAGTTCTATCTGTTAATATTATTTAATGGGCCTGAGCTAACATGAACTAACAATTAACTTGTTTTTTATTAACTAATGTTAACAAAGATGAATAAATATTGTAACAAATGTATTGTTCAACCAATATTTTTGCTCAAGTGGTCTCAGACTTTCGTTACCTTTATAGTTCCTATATTTTTTCTCAAAAAAATAAACTTTTCTTAAAGTGAATTGATTTGACACTATATTGTCTTGTGTAAAACCGCTTTATAGTTGAAACTGAAGTTGTAAATACAACCAAACTTATTGTTTCCTATTTGAAGAATATTGCTACATAGATGCTGTTCTTGTTCCTTTTTATTACTGTAAAGCTGCTTTGAAACTATCTGTACTGTATAAAGCGCTGTATAAATAAACACGACTTGACTTGATCCAAAAGCTCACCAGCATAGGCATCGATGCACTTGTAGAGCACAATCAAAGGCAGCAGAGGGTCGATTAAAGTGAGTAGTCTAGATGGTGAGGCGTCTGTTGTCAGCAGAGTTGCTGGATACGCTGCCACAATCCCATCAGGAACGCGTACACCATGAGACACTGCCCTCATAGAGACGGTTATACACAGGTTACCACCTGCACTGTCTCCCACCAGACAAACCCGCTCTGCAGTCGAGCCTGTGTAGCAAGATCAACATTTAGAGAGTCCTGAGGCATGGTTGGCATGGATTGCTTGTCATGTCCACACCTATTATAATGCTCAAACACCTAAAAATAAAGTTCAAATGGTTCTTTGCAGCACCTTAAGTTATTAAATATATAAAAAATAACTAATTAAGTTATTAAGGTGCTATCCTCTTTTTTAAAAGCATTTAGCTAATTATTTTGTAATTATTATAACTACCATTCAAAAGTTTGGGGTGAGGAAGTTTTTTTTAAAATGTTTTTGAAAGTCTCTTATGGCTCACCAAGATTGCATTTATTCATATCATATGTATAAAAAAATACAGTAAAAACAGTAATGTTGGGAAATATTATTACAAATTAAAATAGATGTTTTTTATTTTAATATATTTAATTTTTTTATTTATTTCTATGATGGCAAAGCAGAATTTTCAGCATCATTACTTATTCAGTGTCACATGATCCTTCAGAAATCATTCTAATATTCTGATTTGGTGCTCAAGAAACATATTATTAACTTATAACTTAAATTATTATTACTACTCAATATTTTGGTGGAAACCATGATATATTTTTTTCAGGATTAGAATAGAAATAGAAAGTTCAACTGAATAGACAGTTCAAAATAACACTATTTATTTGAATCAGAAATCTATTGTAACATTCTAAATGTTCTTACCGTGCGTTCACACCGCCGCCGTGAGAGCGTCAAAGTGGCAAAATTGTTAAGTTTTTTCCATCAATCATTTAAAACATTCCATGAGGTTAACTTATACCCTGCTTGGTCAGTCTGCACAAATAACGATCGACATGCTTGTTTGCTTTGCGGCCCCTTTTTAAAAAAAGTTTTAAAAAAGACCAAGCATTCGATCTACGTCAGAGTCAGAGCGTCCACAAATCTTTCTACGGTGTCATTGGCAGGGCGGCGAGAGCGAATTTGGCCGCTCTCGCCAGCGGCGGTGTGAACGCACGGTTACTGTCACTTGCATCCAGATGGGAAAAAAAATCTTCACCACCACAAATATTTAACCGGTAGTGTACATGCAGGTTTTTAATATTTATATTATCATTTACTATTAACAATATTCTCATATTAATTGAGAAACTGTATGGAATGTTTGTATTTAAGATTTAATTTGTCACGACATAGGACAATTTACAATGAAAATATAAAGACAAAAAGGTGCTTAAAATGGTTTAAAAAAAATCCACTTGTAATCAGATCGACCAAAACGCATCTTAATACCAGGTGTCAACGTGAAAAATGTATGCAACATCAATTCATTGACAGGAACAAGGGAGTTGCAAAGTCAACAGCATAATTAAACAAGGAGAAATACACTAGCATTTCCTATTTAGACAGCACTAAAATCATCGATTAGCACATGTAAATTTCGAAATAACATCATGTCCCCATGTAAAACAATCACTGTCTGCATAATAGTTGATTCTATCTGGTGAGGGGTGTGTGATACAAACCCAGCAAATGGCAATTCTTCAAGGCCCAACAGTAAGCATAGAAACACTCCTCTAGAGCCCGGGGGAACGGGGCCTCTGGAGCCAATGAGTAATCCACAGAGAGAATAGGCACATTCAGATCCTTTGACCAGCTCTTCAAGTAATTCTACAATAAAGACAAAGAGAAAAAGAAGGCATTTAGCAACAACAACAAAAAACGTTTATGTAAAACTTTATACAGGGAGGTAAAACTGCCACAGCCATGCCTCATGTGATTTTGAAGTTTGTGCTACAAAGCCTCCTCCGTGGAAGTGTATGATCAGGCAAGGAGAAAGAGGAGCTGTCTGACGATTGAAACTCCCCGGCAGAGACAGCTGAGGCCCCTCAGGACGAGAAAGTGCTAACAGTTCTGCACTGTCCTGTGGGAAGAGATCAAATATGGAGGAAATTCAGCAGAACTGATTATTCAGTGCTAACTTTAGCAGCCATTCTAACTAATTACAAAAATGTTGAAAACATTTCTCATGCTCACCCTACCTGAAAACATCCCACAGAAACTAAGGTTAGCTGCTTGTCCTAAATGTAATTATTGATTTATTTTTCATAAAAGACACAAACTCAAACCTGTCCTTGTCGGAGTGTGTGTGAGATCAAGCGCACGTTGACTGGCCCAGGGCCCCAGTGTGCAAGTGGAGGGTTCACAGCGACTGAGAGATTGGGGTCAGAGGCCAGTGGCAAACTCAGACCTTCAGCTGGCACAGTTAATGTTACATTCACTTGCACCACACTGGAAGAAATCCTTGTCAAACTCTTTAGAGAAATACAGAAAAAGAAAAGACCATTTGACCTCTTCGGCCTTATTTTGTACACTTCTGTTCAAAAGTTTGGAGTCAGTCAGAAATTAGTATAGGCTTATTTATTCAGTAAAGAAACAATACACTGATCAACAGTGACAGTGAATACATTTATATTCTATTTCAAATAATAATGTTTTCAACATCGATAATAATAAGAAATGTTTCTTATGTTCGTGGTCCTGAGAAGCAAATCAGAATATTAGAATGATTTCTGAAGGATCATGTGACACTGAAGACTGGAGTAATGATGCTGGAAATTCAGCTTTGCCATCACAGATATAAATTACATTTAAATATATATTCAAATAGAAAAACTTACTAGCATAAGAGACATTCAACAACATTAAAAATCATACTGACCCCAAACAGTACTGAAAATATATTTGTGAACCTACAGTTTAACTTCGAGAACAATATAACAAGGTATGGATGTTGTTTTATCGGTTCTCACTTAGAATCATGCATAAACATACATGTACTTACTGATAATAGCTCAGACTCAGTAAGGTTCCAAAAGGTTTTCCAAAACTGCATATCTAAATTTTGAGTGATGCGCTCAAACTCTTCCCCCCTCAACTCAGGGTCCACCACATATTTGCCCGATGTGAAGAAAGAAAGAGCAGCCATGCCTGTAAATAAATCAAACTTTATTGACAAAAGGGATAAGTAATTGTGTAAGAATTGAAAGAGACTCATTTCCTCATTATTTTATGGGAATAGGAAGCCACGGAATAAAAAAATAAATAAAAAAGGTAAATGTGCAAATCTCACAATTTTTTTCCTCTTAGAATTGTGAGATATAATTTCGCAATTGCGAGAATAAAGTCTGAATTTTGAGCTGGCTTTTTCACAATTCTGAGAAAAAAGTAAGATTTGCGACTTAATTTCTTAGAATTGTGACTTTTTTCCTCAGAATTGTGACTTTATACCGTCACAGACTTTTTTCTCTGAATTTTGAGATATAAACTCACAATTCTGAGAAAAAAAGACACAAAGTTAGCTTTTTTATTTAGATTATTTTAGATTATTCCATGGCGAAAATATGCATGAGAAGAATAAATGCATGAGAAGAATAAATCATGTAGCCCTATGAGATTTTGATGCAACCAATCGAGTCTACACTTACCAAGCCCAGTTTGCTGTTTCTTGTAGTTTTCACCAAAGGACACCATACTGATGACCACTGTCTGTAGAAAAGGCCTGAGAGAGGGGGGAAACTTGTAGGAGAGACAAAGAAACAGAGACCTTGTGTTTCTGGAACAAATTTGCATACCTCACAAACTGCGTGCATCAGTGAAACGATAAAAACCAGTTTATGTGTGCTTGTTAGTACTGTAAAAACTTTTGCAAAAGAAATGTTCACATTATCTCACCTGGAAGCCTAAGCAGCGGCCATAGAAACAAGCTTTGTGCATGGAGATGTACTCTTGCACAAACCTCTTGCTTAAACCCCCTTCGTCCTGTGAATAGAGCTCACCGTGGGCATTGTCATTGAGTAATATCTGTGCCAGGTAAAGTAACGCTCGCAGCTGGCACAGGGCACTACAGTATGCTTCCACTTCTGTCACATTATGGTCCAACCGGAAAAACGCTCCAGTACAGTTTGATGCGATGTAACGGGCCTTCTGGATGATGTGGATGACGCAGGAATGGACCACCTATGGAGAAAAGGAAAGTCAATGGCCTCCTTTTGTGGATTTTAAGGCAAATAAATTAGGAATATTCCATGGCTAGCTGTGCATTAAACGATTTAAATGCACAACGTAGACGCAAAGAACCACCTGACGCATAGCTAGCTGTGGATTATCCTGCTCATACCATGGTCATTTGTCAGCTTTGACAAATTAAAGCTGTTATTGATGTTTGAAGAGCAATATTTGACCAGAAGTGTAAAAGTGACTTTTTTTTACATCAGTTATGGCTTGTTAGATCTAGCATTCAGCCCACTTTAAATCAGACGCAGAGATACAGTAATAAATAGAGTTTATTTATTTTTTGTTAATTATTCTAGATTTTTTTGAACACTTAAATGCATACCTCGGGTCTTCAGTGACCCGTGACGTCATTCACTACACTCCTTCTCATTCATTTTTTAAAGTTAGACATCAACCTTCTTAGTATTCCTCAATCAATTCATTACAAACAATATAACAAGAAAAAACGTATACAATTATAAAAGAATGCCTGTTTTCCCATTCATATTTGGTAAAAGTTGTATAGGGTCGCTAACGACCCGAGGTGTACAACAGTGTAAGTATATATTTTTTTGCACAACAATAATTAAATTTTTGGATGACTGAATAAGTGCAATTCACCTTTATTCCACAAGCTGGCAATGTCTGATACACAAGGATGAAGTGAAGTTTCACTCATAGTTACCGCAGGCAGAAAACAAAAGTATAGGAAGTATCATCAGCAAAACTTGAAATGGCTCAACAATTTACTGCAGAGCAAGTACTGAGCGCAATCAAATATTACTGTCACTGTCACTTAATGGTGGATCTGGTGAAGAAGCTGTGAGCAATCAAAATATTGAAGATGTTGAAAATTATAGTTTTGAGAATATTTTTGAGATCGCAAATATGACCCAGATGCTGAATGTACTGGGAAATCAGCTCTAACAAAGACAGTGATGATTGTATAAAACATTTGCTCAAACTGAACCCTTTCAAGCTCCAAAAGGTAACAAAATATGCTTTATTTTATTCTTCTGTAATTGTTACTGTGATACCAGGAGAGTTTTATATTATTGAGACAGGTAGCGAAACATCAGTGTTAGATATAGATACGGGTTGCTAAAGACCCAAATATGCAATAATGATGGGCGAAACATTCATGCATTAAGGGGTTAATTATCAAGAGTGATATGAGAGATGCATGTGTGAATTACCTGCATCTGTGCAGAATCTCTCTTTACTAACAGCAAAGCTGTGAGTTTAATTACCTCAAAACATTGCTGAGAAATATAAGGTAGCGATTCAGTAGCGAAGCTATTTTATTGATAAAAGATGAAAGGCAGCGTTGATATCAAGTTTCTTTGCTCCTGAATGTTTATATGTGTGCGCAGCATGATCTCCAATCTCTGTGGGCAAGTGTTGTGTGTGTGTGTACTTCAATGAAAGAAGCGCATCAATATTGAACTGTGATTAAACTGACCGGAACTACCTGTGCATTAAGTCAGGGATAATGACAGGCATGAAAACTGGTCAGGGGTAAAAAAGGTGAGAAGGATACAGCAGCAAAAAAATCCAATCAACTTTATACATAAAGCACATATATTAGCATCGTATGTAAAATGGAGGTCAGGCTCATTTCTATAAAAGCTAGCAGATAGGAGCTTGCTCCTGCTTGCATTAGCTTACAGATAGCGTGCAACAAGAGAAAGATGCCGACACGTTTTATCCTGTTGTTGCAGGGTTTCTGCACACTTTTTAAAGTCAAATTTAAGGCTTTTTAAGACCCGAAGAAATCAAAATTAATACCTTACATTAGGGATGTGCAATATTGACAATGTCTCGATATTTTCAAAGTTTTGTTGATAATAATTCGATTTTATTTTACTGATTGTGTTTGTGTACTGGTACCATGTCTGGTTTCTGCACAAATCACGTAGGTGACCCATTTTGATTTTAAAACGGCGAATTTCGCTGAAAGGTGAGGAGTTTTCATGCCTGTAATGAACATCTAGCCAGTTGTTATCTCAGAATAAACCCTGACAGGGTGATCAGGTCTTGCATCACCCTGAATGGGGTTTATTCTGAGATAACAACCGGCTGGATGTACATTATCCCGCTTATAACACACCTACTTGCCACATAAGTAAATAATTAGACACAAAATATTGATCTGAGTCTAAATATTTTATTAGGTCTTTAAACGCAAAGCTTCTGCGGAGAGAGCAGTTGCTAGCAAGCGGCAAGTTCAAACTAGACGGACATTTAAGGGATACGGTACAGTCATACCACTTAGTACACAGCATTTCGCCACATAAATAATTATGGGGATATAGCGATCTTGAGAGATGAAACTGTTAAACTTCTAAACTGTTAAAATCGTACCTTTTTGTTATCTTATAACCCAAAAGTGTACAAAACAATAGTCGCAAAATAGCAGTAGCTGCATTTGTATGAAACAAGAGAGAGCGAGTCCACGATACTGGATGACATAATTAAAAAACTGTACACAAAATATTGATTTGACTCAGTTTTAATATTTTATTAGCTTACCAAAGGCAAAACTTCCACAAAGAAAACCGTTCCTAGCAAGCGTATAGCGCTGCTGACTTCTGTAACCCGGATGAGACTCTGTTATCTGTTTTCAGAGGTTGTTATCGGGGAATAACATACCACGGTATGGTGTGATTGACCAATCAGAATCAAGTATTCCACAGAGCCTTGTAATAAATGGTTTGAATGCCTACCTTCCAGCCAATCGTAATAGAGTATTCAGAATTTCAGACAGACCATGGTATAAAGACATATAATTTTATATGAATATTTGTAAAATGATTTATAAAAATACACTGCTGGTAAGATTTTTTTTTTTTTAAAGAAATTAATACTTTATATTCAGTAAGGAAAATTACATAATTTGTACATTACCATTCAAAATTTTGGAGTCAATCAAAAATCAGTATAGGCTTATTTATTCAGCAAAGAAACAATACACTGATCAACAGTGACTGTAAATACATTAATAATGTGACAAAAATATTCTATTTCAAATAGCTGCTGTTCTTTAGAACTTTATATTTATCAAGAATCCTGAAAAAAATGTATCACCATTTCCACAAAAATATTAAGCAGCAATGTCACAATGTTACTGTTTTTACTGTATTTTCGATTAGATAAATGCAGCCTTGGCGACCATAAGAGACTTATTTAAAAGAAATCTTACCAACCCCAAACTTTTGAACTGAAGTGTACATATAGAATTTTATATTTTAATTTAAAAAAAATTAAATGTATTAAATTTAGATTTACATTATAATAATAATAATTAAATACTTTTAATTATTAAAATTATCATTTAATTTAAATGTTTAACAAACAGGACTGGCAGAAAACCTCTTTATTTTAACTCATAATCTAAAAAAAAACCTTAAAGTTATGCTATTGATGCTCTCTTACCATACCATAATTACGGAGCCCCCCTAGTCCCACTTTTGTCAAAAATTTTTTATTATAACTATCTTGTGGCCTCAAGATAGTAACTCGTGGCCTCAAGATACTATCTTGTGGGCTCAAGATAGTAACTCGTATCTACTAAACAACTAAATTACAGCCAAAAGCACTTATCTTGACCGCTAAAAAGAACACCTAAATCGCAAATAAAACATGAGATTTGAAACTTTAAAAATTCCCCTTTTTATCCACTCATCAGTTTTGCAGCCAACTAGCAGTTACCTTGACTAAGGTCCGATATCCATTGCCGGGCGTCTGCGCATCCAAATCAAAATGGTGATAGACAGTAGTAAAGCCAGTGATCAAGGGTTCAACAGCCCGACCATGTTCCTGAACCTGCCTCATCACCCCCAACAGACGGTTCGTAGCGTCCACATGTGAAGGACTGCCGGGGGATCCATTGAGAGCCAAGATAACATCTGAACAGACTGTCTGCAATGCTGCGAATACATCCTTATGGTCCATGTCTGACAAACTGAGAGAGGCGAGAACAGAGATATCAACAATGAAAATGTCAAACAATCCAAAAACACCTTCAAAAATATACAATATCTCTATGAATGTGAATGGAACAGGTATCAAAGCACAAATAAACAAAACACAAACAATAAAACTCTGTCAGGCAAAGGCCAAGCTATCATGAATGTAAACTATTGTGTTCTAGAGAGAGAGCAGAGACCGGCCTTTGTCAACAGACACAAAGACTCAATGTGGGATCACAGCATATTCTTGCAGCATCCAACCCTTGCGTCATCAAAGTCCAAAAGAATGTAAAAATTCAGGCACTCTCTGAAAACACATGCTTGGAGGAACTCCACATTATGGTTGTAATACTTATAAATGATATTTAGTGATGTGTGACAGACTTCAAAGAAAAGCTCCTAAAAGGATTTGATTATCCTCTGCAATAATTATTGGAATAGGAGTTCCACGCAGTGCTAATGGATCATGTTAGTCATGACACTGGATTTCAGTAGCCAAATAAAAGACCCGCTTTATCATTAGATGCAGTAGACTAAGCAGTTGTGACCTGTAATATATAAATTTAAACTCTTTGCCCGAGGAAATGCAAAATTTGTAAAGGAAACCAGACTCAAACACGGCTGGGGAGCATGGCTTAGAAATGAATTATTCACTTACACACTGCAGCCACTGTTACAGTTGAACTGATCCCTATTCATCACTCTACTCAATAAACACTTAAACACTCTGAGATTCCAATTTGCTTTCACTGTTTCACAATTAGATTGTGTGCTGGATGAAACAATCACATCTGATCAATAAAAACAACAACAACAAAAAAAGAAAAACATTGGACTTTGAACCCACCACACATGTAAGAATTTTCCTCATTTAAAGTAGGTCTTATTAGTAGATGACCAGATACGACTGCTGCAGTGAATAGATATGTGATGTGCAAAATAAGGGATTTTGTCAACATTGTAAAAGTCCATGAATAATTATGAAATACTTAAATATTAATCATATATTTAAATAATTAAAATACAATATTAAAATATTTAAACATTCATTTGTATGAATGGCTTGCTTTGATAGACAAGGGGAAGCTGATTTTTTAGAGAAAATGGATGTTGGAGGTTTCACCTAAAGCATTCAACATGTTCATTTCTTGATTGACAAACGGTTTTCAGTTGTGCAGCCCGTTTTCTTCAGTATTTATCAATAAAGGCCTATTATAGTAACCAGTCCTGGAAACAGCATGAAATAGAAAAGGATCTGGCAACCCAATTGGCGCGACGCAGCAGCACTTGCCAAACAGCTCCAGTGTGGGATAGGTTGCTGCTCATTAACTTTCTATGCGATGAAATTGATATCACGAAACGTTTTTGTAACGTGCCCCCCACAAATTTAGGTGACGGAGGCCAAAACGGCAGCCCGCGCACTTAAAAGTTGTACCTAAGCAAACTGAAATGTTTGTAAAACATCGCTTACCTGCTTACCTGTCACTCAATGAACTGCGCGTTTGCAAGTTGCGTCTGAACTGCGAGCGATCGCTGACAGCAGCACCGCATATCGAACATCACACTGTCGCGAAATGCTATCGACACTCGTGCATTTTCATATCCAAATAGTATGGTAGAGGATGTCTTGTGTTTTTGCTTGCTTGTATCCTCTTCCGTGCCTGTCAAAGTTTCGACTGACTCACAGCATCATGGGTACACGAGTTCAGTGCAGAGTCCTATGCGCGAGTGACGCGACGCGACCGCTTCCATGGCAATCAACTGGACTTTGCTATGTGCACTATTCCAGTTAGTCGCGGTAGAGGAATCAAATAATATATAATAGTAAGCCTTTATATAAAAAATATAGTCTTTAGCTAAATACATAGCCTACACACATAGGCCTAAACATAATAATATATATTTTTTTATCGATAAATACAGTGTAGGCCTACTGTTTTCAGCACAAGAGTATTTTTCATTTATTTTTGTTTGGGGTTTTATAATTCTATATCTGCATTTTACATATTTGCTATGCCTAATAATAGGCTGTATGGTAGTTTAACTTAATAAAATGTTATAAATTAATAATAATTTATAAATTATATTAGTAAATAATACACTAATAGTAGCCTACATATACTAATAGCTATATTAACTTTAAGGTATGTGCATAGAGAAACTGACAACAAGAAAATAGGCGCACACTGTGCCTATTCACTAAAGTAAAAACTGTCTTACCTTGCATGGAAAATAAACAGAAAAATTAGTCTACAACTATAGTAAAACATTATTTTTTTAAAGTAATCAATTAGATAATAATACAATTCTTTAAATGGGTTTTAGCCTATACTATTACTGTTGTTATTTTTCCCCCCCACAGTTAAATGGTCACAGTGAGCACAGAGTGGCAGTCATTACCAAGATATTTGATTCCATGTTCAGCCTCATTCTCACATGACACCCTCTGGTGGTCAAAGGGAAAACTGGCTCCTCTCTGGATGATAAACCAGTGTGATCTGAAAGAATCAACATGCAGAAATATATATATTTATGAGAATGTATAGTCTAATTTTGAGCCCATGGATTAAAATACCATGCGAACATAATGTGGTCACATGCATTTCTTACCCAATTATATAGGGGGTCCCTCCCTGTGCATTTTGCTGTAAGACTTTATTTTCTCCAAGGGGATGAATAAAGTGTTATCTTATCTTTCTTATCTCATCTATAAAGAGGCAGCTTCCAGTCTGTGTCTATTTTAGGATTTCTTATAATACTTTCATATCGTATAGCCCTCAATGACTTTCGAATTCTTCACATCTTTAACAGCTTCTTTAACAGACAGAAAATACTTCACAGGGCCATGAAGCACTCAATCTCTTAATGTCCCACTATATATTATATGAAATATTATTATGCAAACCATGTAGTTCTCTAATATACTTCCACTTAAAGCAGAGCTGAAAGAACTGCATGTCACATCTCTGAGCTTTTAGTTGTGATGCCCTGACGTTACACTCTTAACATTTGTATCTATTTACACCTGGCCTAAAGTGCCATTCACCAGCTGTCACCAGCTCAGGGTCTATTCTTTTGTTTCTCATGTTACAATGACAACTCAGTTTTCATATCCAGCATGCTCTGGCCTGGCATCACCAATACTGATGGCTACCTAAAGAGAGCATCAATAGCATCACTTTGCTGTTCCAGACAGTAGCTTACAAGCTAACTGAAGCTTAAGTAGGGGTTTAGTAGCCTGACGTCGTCATACTCAGATTCAAGTCAGAATATGAGTCTGATATTGCTCCATTGGGGTATGATTATGGAGCGTGTTTTTTCAACCGAACCAGGAAAGAAAATGCCTCTGCACTTAATTGGATAGACCTACAACTAATTAGAGCAACGGAGTAAGTGACGCATGTTGAATCCCGTAGGAAGGACGGCAAAAACATCTTTCCGATTGGCAAATGCCTTGATCGCGGTTCTCTGTTCCTCTTTTAAAATGAATGCGCTGTCGATATCTTCTATAACAGACGCGATGGCGGAATCTACACATCTCAATTCTCCAGCGGCAGCCACCTTTGTTGTAAGCGAATTCAATCCAAGCGCTTTTTGGTGACGTGGATGATTACGTTACTGTTGATCATCTGTCCATCATCGTATAAAGCCCGCCCAGACAATATGATTGGTCCGAACAGCTCTGGTTCGAGCATAGTAGGGGATTATCACGCTTCCGGGTTTCATGGGCGGGATTTGTCAACTTTGTGCATGTCCACTTCCGACGCAGTTCAACAATGGCTGAAACGAAGGCTAGATGTCACTGCTCTGTTCCACTTTGTAAATCTAACCAACAACGCTAACCCTACTTAAGTTCTCATGGATTCCCGACTGAATTGAGTATAAGGAAGAAGTGGATTAAAGCGGTTCGCCGGGATTAAGGTCCAAACTTTAAAAATAAAACAAGGTAGCACGTTTGTTTGTAGCCGGCACTTTAGTGAATCAGACTAATTTACCAGGGATGCCGTATAAATAAACTTAGTGTAGTCCGTCATCAGTTCACCAGAGTGATCGGTGATTCAACGGAAGTGGCAGTGCACAAAGATCACTGAATGCGGAAGTACTATGTATCAGCGTGATAATCCCCTGTTGTTCCACAACGGATCAAGTCCAGACCGAACTCACCGACCTCAAGTGTTGTGGTCGGGGCTAAGTTCGGATGGCATCCAGGCTAGGGGTTTAGCTAATAAGAGTTGAAACTTAAAATAAAGAGGTTTTCTGCCAGTCCTGTTTGTTAAACAGTTGGTTTTAAAGTAGAATTTGAGTAAAAAAAAGAAAATGAAATGCAAACTGAACAAAAAAAGATGAGCAAATGATCAGTCAGTGGTGGACATTTCACGAATTCACACTTACATACAATTAAAGGGAATAAAGTATAATGCGTATTTGGCGTGCTGTCCGGGGGAGGGCTCCGAGCTCGGAATTCGGCCCGAACCCAGAGTACTCCCCCCTGTATGTAAAGTGGTTTAGGACTAGAAGAGTGGAGAAGGGGTGGTGGAGGGACCCTGCTAAACTGTCAGAGAAATGAGGTGAGACTGCTGAGTCTATGGGTGCTTCTCAATATCCTCGATCCTCCGTCCCCCATCCTATGACCCGGAAACCGATCGAGCTCAGCCATCTTGAAGGACATCTCAATTCTCTAATTGCACCGCGAGGAGGCGAGGATCGAGGAGTGAGGAGGCTTCCAGAGGAGCTATGAGCGAGGATGTACAGTTGCATGCTTTGCGGAAGCGTTTTACCGACTAAACGTGACGCACGTATTCTCCTCCCCCTTCACGTCGGTCACAATCATTTTAATTTATACTTGACCTTTGCAGTTTATATAAACCACACATCTCACATATTTCAACAGGGTATCTTGCTTTATTATTATTTATTACTAATTTCTTAAATAACCAAACTTCAACAACTTAAGGGCAGATCCTTTGAGTGCTGCTGATGACGCAGTGAAGTGACGCTCGAGTGGTCAAGTATTCCAAAGTATAAGAAAACTTTCATCCGATTCCTCCGTCCTCATTTTCTTTCCTTGCAGCCTTCCCTCGCATCCTGCAGGGGGTGGAGCTGAGACGCGAGGAAAGGAAGCGAGGAAAGGAAACGAGGATGCACAGATAAGAATTGAGAAGCACCCTATATATACACGTTTTAATCATGATTGCTGAGTGCTCTCCACACGTGTTAATTATCTGAACGTGCTTCTCCCGAACTTTGTTAATAAAACATCATTTCACGAGTTCACACTTACATACAATTAAAGGGAATAAAGTATAATGCGGATTTGGCGTGCTGTCCGGGGGGAGGGCTCCGAGCTCGGAATTCGGCCCGAACCCAGAGTACTCCCCCCAAAAGGCTAGAGAGCAGAGGACAGCCGCCGGACTAAAGACCCCCCCAAATGAGTGCCGAGTTTGGCGGGCTGGCATCTCGTGAAAGGGTCTGGGCGCTTGGCCGGGAGGGCCCGTGGTGGCGGCTCACTGCGCTGGACTGACGGGCCCTGCTGACCTGAGAGTAGGGAGCAATTGTAATTTGGAATGGCAAATTTAGGAGAGTTGTGCCTTCTTGATGGGAGCTGTTCGCGCAAATCCCGGACGATAGACCGAGAGGCCCATGTAGCTTCGACAGGGGGGGCTTGCGGTCGTTGGGCTTATCTGCCGACTGATCTAGGCTTACGGGAAAGATTTGCTGCGTGTGCTGTTAGACAAAATGCTTGCTGGAGAAGAGGAAACAGGAAAGAGGAAAATAAGTACTCAACCGGGAGATTTTCTCACACTGCGTCGCTGGACGAAAGAGAAAACATAAGTGCTCTACCGGAAAAGTTATCACTGCGTCCGCTGTGGGACTGAAGCCTGCTGGGCAGACAGAGGAAACGGGAAAGAGGAAAATGAGTACTCGACCGGGAGATTTTCTCACACTGTGTCACTGGACGAAAGAGAAAACATAAGTTCTCTACCGCACAAGTTCTCACTGCGTCCGCTGTGGGACTGAAGCCTGCTGGGCAGAAAGAGGAAACTGTAAAGAGGAAAATGAGTACTCGACCGGGAGATTTTCTCACACTGCGTCGCTGGACGAAAGAGAAAACATAAGTGCTCTACCGGAAGAGTTCTCACTGCGTCCGCTGTGGGACCAAAGCCTGCTGGGCAGAAAGAGAAAACAGGAAAAGAGAAAATGGGTACTTGGCCGGGAGATTTTCTCACACTGCGTCGCTGGACGAAAGAGAATTGAATGAGAGAGCTAGGAAGGGTATAGGCCGGGGCTGTGAGTGTTGGCGGCGGCCTCACGGTTGGATTACCAGCTGGGGCTTGAAAAGGAAAGTTAGTTGTTGGATGAAAAGGAAAGGAAGGGTGGTAGAAAGAAGAGTGGGCTTGTGGTGCAAGCGGAGGCGGGCTCGCACTTGTCTCAGCTGCTGGAGCTGCAGGCCACTGGATGTGGGCGGGGTTGAAACCTGTTGGGTGAAACTGTTGAGAGGGGTGGGCCAGCGAAGCTAGCGGCGGTAGCCTCGCGCTAGCCTCTGCTGCTGGAGCTGGAGGCCACTGAAAAGGAAAAGGGTTAAAAGCAGCGTGAGAATGAAACTGAGAGGCTGTGGAAAAGCCGCTGAGACCGGCTGCATGCAGCTCTGCTACGGCGGGAGCCGTGGTGGAGGGCTGAGCCT